GGGTTAAAGTCTGTCGCGGGGGGGGGGTTGGGTCTACCGGTCGGGGGGCGGTGGTTATGGTGACAGGATGTGAATGCTGTCTGGCGCACGAAGCGTTAATCTCGGGCCCGCCTACCGGCCTCTTTCAAATCAGCCAATGGCAGAGCTGCTTGTGCTCGAACTGACCAATCAGAGCCGAGCAGAGCCGGCGATTTATACTGCGAGCCGCGAGCAGCGTCAGTCAGTCAGTGCAGGACAGCGAGGCGGACACACACAGGTACCGGGAGGGGGCTACCGGGAGGGGGCTACCGGGAGGGAGCTGATATCGGGGGTATAGTAAGAGGCGGACACACAGTTACCGGGTACTATTCTCTCCGGTATGGGATGTTTAGTAAGAGGCGGGGGGGGGATCCTGACATGTGGCCCTCAGTGTGGGGCAGGGATAGGCAACCTTCAGCACTCCAGATGTTGTGGACTACATTCCCCATATTGCTGACAAAGCATCATGGGAGGTGTAGTCCAAAACATCTGGAGTACCAGCAATTACGCCGCCTACAATAGAAAAGTACGGCCTCAGTACCAAAAGCAATAGAGGAATTTTGACATTAGCCCCTCAGTATAAAACAATAAGAAGTACGGCGTGTAGCCTCAGTATAAAACAATAGAGAGTACTGGCAATATGCCTCAGAATAAAACATTACAGCCTCAGAATAAAAACATGCGCAGCAATGCCCCTCAGAATAAAACAATAAGTACGGCAATGTAGCCCCTCAAGAGATAAAACAATAGAAGTACGGCGTAGCTAGCCCCTCAGAGATAATAATACAAAAACAATAAAGTACTGGCAATGTAGCCCCTCAGAGATAAAGCAATAGAAGTACGGCAGTACTTGCCCCTCCAGAATAAAACAATAAGTACGACGTAGCCCCTCAGAGATAAAGCAATAGAAGTACTGACATTAGCCTCAGAGATAAAACAATAAGTACGGCATTAGCCCCTCAGGAATAAAACAATAGAGAGGCGATATGTGGCTCTCAGTATAAGGCAATGGGGGGGGGATCCTGCCATGTGGCCCCTGGTGTAGTTGTATGGTGCATTGTAAGGCCATATATAACTAGATGTCTTAACATTGTGGGATGGATAATGTGCTGGACAGGCTGGGGTGGGACTGACTGCTCTGATGCACTGGGAGTTATGTATGATTAATTCTGGGGCAAATTTACAAAAGTGGTTCACTGAGCAGGGCAAATCCACTGGTTTCTGTGTTAATTCGTTCAATTGTAGAACCTTTCTGCAAAATATCTCTTTATACATAACCCTGGTAATACCAGGTTTTGGGGGTGTCAGGCTGTGCATATCTAGGAGCTAACAGGGTTTCTGGATAGATCTTGCTGGATGGTAGGGGTTTGGGAGTGGTGGTGGTTGTTGAAGTAGCTGATATATGTTTGTGAATTAGGGTGTCCAGAAGGACAGTTGGTATAAAAGTTTTGTGGGGAGGGAGGGCAGCAGAGAACCTAGGTTCCTATAATGGGAGTAAACCTTTTTTGTTCAAGGTCAGTGTGTACAAAGGGCCCTCTTGGCGTTTGGGTATGGGGTGGTAATGCCCAGCTGGTTTTCCTACTCTTGTCTTGGTTTTGTAAGAATGTCTGTCTGCATCTAGCATATGAACTGTTAGATCTGAGCTTGGAGTACTGAGAGTGGGAGTCTGACCAAGATGCCTTTTTGTTCAGTTGCATTGCAGGATTTCCTTGTCGTCTAAAACCTCTGTCAAGATGTCAAACAATGAGAATGCAGCCACCCTCCGACAAAGCAAGTTCAAGAACAAGGGAAAGGACACCTCAGTGAGTAGGATTCCCGATGCTTGGCCTCTATGGTACTGGCAGAAGGATGGCAACGTTTCTGATCGTCTGTTTGCTTTTAGGAAATGAGGCGAAGGAGAATCGAAGTCAATGTGGAGTTACGGAAGGCAAAGAAGGAAGACCAACTACTGAAACGTAGGAATGTCAGCTCCTTCCCAGAAGAGCCAACATCTCCACTTCAGGAGAAGAACCAAAATGGACAGGTAGGTGGTGGTGCTCTGACGGTATGCTGGCTACTATTGTGTGATGTAATGGTATAAGCTCCACATCTGGTAAATCCTCCAAAAATATCTATTTGTGTATTGGCATTTATACAATGTATCTGGATAAAAGAAATTATGTGCTTTTTTTTTTTTTTAATAGTTTAATATCTGGCATCTAACCATGCCACATCAGCATAAACTGCTTACCATGAAAGCGTTAAAGAATACAATAGGCATTAAAACCACTTTAGCTTAAAGGGAACCTATAGTGTTATAACTAGTGCCCTCTGGCCCCCAGCTCAGAAAGGGTTAAAGTACTTTGTTGATGCAGCTCTGACTGTGACTGACACAGCCTGCATTTAAAACATCTGATTTCAATTAAATGTTAACTTGCTTTAGAAGTTATCTCCTGCTCTGTAAATAGAACTTTAAAGGACCACTATAGTGCCAGGAAACCTACTCGGTTTCCTGGCTCTCTAGGGTCCTTGGGTTCCCCTCTCCCGCCGGGCTCTATGGTGAGGAAGGGTTTAATCCCTTACCTTTATTCCAGCACTGGGCTCCCTCGGCGCTGAGGACTCTCCTCCTAATTTACTTTCATCGGCTGAGTGCGCATGTGCGGCAAGAGCCGCGCGCATTGTCGGTCCATAGGAAAGCATTCTCAATGCTTTTCTATGGACGCTTGCGTCTTCTCACTGAAAATCACGCTGGATTAACCCATAGGTAAACATAGCAGTTTCAGAGAAACTGTTTACAGCAGAAAGGGTTAGTCCTAGAGGGACCTGGCACCCAGACCACTTCATTAAGCTGAAGTGGTTTGGGTGCCGGGTCCCTCAGGGAATAACCCTTTCTGCTGTAAACCTATGGGTCAATCCAGCCTCTAGTGGCTCTCATTAACAGGCGCTTCCGTGCTTCTCACAGTGATTTTCAGTGAGACGCCAGCGTCCATAGGAACACATTGAGACTGGCTGAATGTTCGTGCCGCGCATGCCTTTTCAGCCAATGACAGGGAAAGGAGGCGGAGGCTCCCCACCGCCGAGGGAGCCCGGCGGTGGAGAAAAGGTGGTATGTGTTTCACCCCTTCATCACCCTAGAGCCTGGCGAGAGGGGGACCCTAAGGGTGGGGGAACCTAGAGACCCTATAGTGCCAGGAAAACGAGTGGTTTTCCTGGCACTATAGTGGTCCTTTAAGCTGAAGTGTTCTGGGTGCCTATAGTGGTCCTTTAATTACACACAAGGCTCCTGCAAAGACCAGGAGGCTATTAAAGGGACACTAGTCACCCAGACCACTTCAGCTCAATGAAACTGTTTACATTTTGGGTTAACCCAGCCTCTAGTGGCTGTCTAGGGGGACCATGAGGGTAGGGGGCACCCTCAGGGCACTATAGTCAGGAAAAAGCTCTGTTTTACTGACACTATAGTGTTCCTTTAACAAACCAGGACATAAGAAATTGGGTAATACATGATGCTAAAATACCTGGATTATTTTATAGGAAGGCTATGACAGTCACATGCAGGGAGGTGTCAAGGGCTGAATAAACAAAGTGATTCAACTCCTAAATGACTGAAAATGCAGGGGCATGAATTACACACCAAAACGCCACTAAGCTAGTTTTGGTGACCATACTGGCCCTTTAAATGTACGCTACTACATTACCTTACCAAGTAAGAGTCTTTGGCTACTCTAAAATGTAATGTGTATTTATTTACCATTCCCAGACATCCACCCAGTGGAGTGTTGAGGAGATCGTCAGAGGCGTCAATAACCCAAGCCTGGAGATCCAGTTACAGGCTACTCAAGCTGCAAGGTAAGTAGGCCAAACTTTTACTATATACTGTCAGCATTGGCACTGACAATCACCTCTGCATGAGACTGGATAAAGATAGTGTCTTCCAGAAATTTGGAAAATTACAGTAAATGCAAATTTCAATCTACAGCTTCTGCGATGAACTTGACAAAGGACATTACTCGATAGCAATGTTCTTGTAAAGGAACACTCCAAACAGCATAACTGCTACAATAAACTAATGTTTATGCTTCCAGGAGTGCCCTTTTGCCCCTTAAGGACAGCACTTACAAAATAAAAGGCCAGCAGGTCTTCCATCATGTGTTCTTAAAGGAACACAACATGTCTTCCTGGCCCAATAGTGTTAAACCTCATCTAGCCCCCTTTAACCTAATTATAGTAAAATCTCGCCATTATTTGAGTCTGCTGGTGCTGGCTCTGCCTCCTTGGCTGACATCATCAGAAGTGGTTGTCTGAGCCAATCATAATGCTTTCCCAAAGGATTGGCTGAGACTGTCAAGGTGGCAGATCCAGTACAAACTGTTTGGCTCTGGCACTCTTGAGTGCTGTGCCATAGGTTGCTGACCTCCCGAGCTAGGTCGTTTAGGAACAGTTCATACACACTGCAGGCACCCAGACCATTTAAATTCCATGATGTCTAGCTACATTTTTAAAGAGAATACAATACTTACAGCCTGTAGTAACTCTGTGAAACAATGCTGGGCATCCTCACCCTCTGCATGAGGATGTCAATAATCTTGAAAATCCCCATAGGAAAGCATTGATTCCTTAGTTTCCTAAGGTGCATGGCATTGGCTGTGCATTAGGTCCTCTGTCTGACGTCGCAGGAGGAGATGAATCCAGCACCAAGGGACCTTGGAGCTGGCATAAGATAAGTGAGGATTAACTCTTATGACAAGGATTTTTCCTTTAGTATTGCTAACCTTATAGTGTACAACTTTTAATGTGGGACTTCAGACACCACATCCACTGCACTGAGACTAAGTGGTTGGTTCCTGTGTAGAATTCAAATGCTGGTTTTGGGAGATTTGTCAAAACAATGTAAAAGCCTCATGGCACTTTTTGATAAGTTCAGACTTCCTCCATTGGTCTAAGCCACTTTCTGATCTGGGGGAGCTCACTGCAGAAGCTGACAACACTGCCATTTCCTTTAAAAGAACATGCCAGTTACTAATGTCTTCAATCAGAAGTGGGTACATACCATATCCCATGTACCCCTGCTCAATATGCAGGGATCCCACTTAAATCATGGGAGGGAAGTAATTGACTGAGATGACTTGGAACCAATGCATGTTTAGACCAGGAAGTGTCTGAGGTAGCAGATACTCTGAATGTGCAATAAAGTTTAACGTGGTTTGTTTGGGTTTTTTTTGTGTGTGTGTGTATCAGGCTGTAACTGACCTCCCTCACGATCTCCCATTTTTATTTAGGAAGCTGCTTTCTCGTGAGAGAGAACCTCCCATTGATCGGATAATACAGGCTGGCCTGATTCCGAAGCTGGTTTCTTTCCTGGGACAGACTGACTGCAGCCCTATCCAGTTTGAGGCTTCGTGGGCGCTAACAAACATCGCGTCTGGAAACTCTGATCAAACCAAAGCTGTGGTAGATGGCGGGGCTATTCCAGCCTTCATTTTGTTGCTTTCATCTCCTCATCCTCATATCAGCGAGCAGGCTGTGTGGGCTCTGGGTAACATTGCAGGTAACTATCAGAAGCTGAAGGGTTTGTGCAATACTGTGAAAGTAGTTTAGGATGTTCTAAAGAACATGTTTGGATTTCTGTTTAAAAGCCAGTCACATGTAGCAATTCATAAAATCTAAAGATGTTCTGTTACTTAAAGAACCATCATTTAGGAATATAAACCTGCATTCCTAATGCTATAGCATCTTTAGGTTCCCAACCTGTGACTGTAAGGGTGGGGGGTGGTAAAAGGCAGTTTGAAGCTATTCTCCACACTGCCATCCCAATGGCTGATACTTGGTTTATGATCTAGACCCAGGGTGACCAAAAGATCTCCAATATGTTCTAAAACTACAGCTTCCATGATGCTTTGTCATTCTAAAGGCATGCAGGCACACAAAGTATCATGGGAGTTGTGGTTCTACAACATCTGGAATCTACCGTTTGGGCAGCCCTGATCTACATCAATCCAATGCTTCCTCATAAAAAGCACCGCCAACAGTGCAAAACTCAACATACTGAGGGTGGTTTAATACTTTAATCCATTGTCATTCTTCCTGTTCAGGTGATGGCTCAGCCTACAGAGATCTGGTGATCAAACATGGGGCTATTGAACCCCTGCTGAACTTGCTTGCTGTTCCTGACCTCTCTGCACTACCTGTAAGTAAAATCACCCAGAGGCATTGCCGTAAACAATAGTGGTGTGGGTTTTATTTCTTTACGTATATTCCCCCACTTCTGAGAGATGTGCAGAGTTACCATTTATCTATCGCTGTCTTCTCAGACTGGCTACCTAAGGAATATCACCTGGACACTGTCTAACATGTGCCGCAATAAGAATCCAGCCCCTCCAATGGAAGCCATTACACAGCTTTTGCCCACTCTGGTCCGACTGCTGCATCATGATGACCGTGAAGTCCTAGCCGACACCTGCTGGGCAATATCTTACCTGACTGATGGCTCCAATGACCGTATAGATGTGGTGACACAAACTGGGGTGGTTCCTCGAATTGTCCATCTCTTGGGTTGTGGAGAGCTGACCATAATGGTGAGTAACCGCCTCCAACCCTTCACAACACTGTGGTCTCTGTATTTTAGCAGGCAGTTGTCAACCCAACTATCGTTGGAATATGACTGGCTAGCTCTCTTTTGAGCCTGTATCAGACTTACTGTTTGACTCTCTTCCTCTCCATCTCTAGACTCCTTGTCTGCGTACCATTGGTAACATTGTGACTGGGACAGATGAACAGACACAGGCTGTCCTTGATGCAGGTGCACTGGCAGTCTTTCCAGTCCTACTCAGTCACCACAAGAACAACATTCAGAAGGAGGCGGCTTGGACTCTGTCTAATATAACTGCTGGACGCCAAGAGCAGATCCAGGAAGTGCTCAATAATGGGCTATTGCCTTATCTCGTGGAAATCTTAATGAAGGTAATTCCTTATACTGATTCAGAGACCACTTAATTGCATCACAGATCCAAACACCCTAATCAGAACACTGAAAATAAAACCGACTTTTAGTATCATGTCTCCTAGATCTTGTCTTGTAAGCGAACTAATGCATCACTCTCCAACAGGGTGACTACAAGACCCAGAAAGAAGCAGTGTGGGCTGTCACGAACTACACAAGTGGTGGTACTATTGACCAGATAATCCACCTGGTCCAGGCTGGCGTGATTGGGCCCTTGTCGAACCTCCTGTCAGCAAAGGACAGCAAGACCGTACTCGTTGTGTTGGATGCCTTCTCAAATATATTTGCAGTAAGCTATGTCTAGATAACTTCTTATTGAAAGCCAGGAGCACTGTCAACTTGCTTTCTCCTATCTGAAGAGTCATGTTAAATAAAACCTGGCTTAATTTAATTCCTTGTGATATTGAAATTGTCAGTTGCTTTTGGTTTAACCCCCTACTAATTTTGCTGTGTCCGTAGGCTGCTGAGAAGCTTGGAGAAATTGAGAAGCTCTGTCTGATGGTGGAGGAGTGTGGTGGCCTTGACCGTATTGAGGCTCTTCAGGCGCACGAGAACGAACAGGTCTACAAAGTCTCTGCTGGCCTTATTGAGAAATATTTCTCTACAGAGGTACGTACAGGACAAACTAGTACTTTGCTTATTTGCATGCCTTCAAAACTGCTTCTCAATCTGTGTAGAAACTCTGCTCTTGGTTACATGTCAGCAAGAAGTAGTTTCAATCATCTAAACCTGTAACATCTTGTTTTATGAAGTCAGTGGGTGGTTTCTGAATGGGTAAGTGATCATTGTTGCAGTAATGTGTAACACTTGTGGTTTATTTTATTTGTGATTTTTAGGAGGAAGAAGACTCTTCTATTGCCCCTGAAGCTACAGCTGATGGCTACACCTTCCCGGTCCACGAAGGAACTCACACTACCTTTAACTTCTAAGCACTGACATTTTATTCTTCCTGTTTGTCTTTTTTCTATGTGAAGTAGCACTTTCTCAGACTTGAAATCTTCTCTAATCCTGTACATACTGTGAATTCTTTACATTTTTCTGTAAAGAAGTCCTCTTTTAGCTCACAATGGGCTCAGGTCACCTGTTTTGGAAGACCACTTTTGTTCTGTGGTAGATCTTGGGTGCTTTAACTTGTCACCACTATGGCACACAGCAATAAAAGATGGGCCACAATAGAGTACAAAAGACAAACCTATGAAATGTTGGGCACATCTCTGGCTTTAAAAGTTGATTTCCAACTCATGGGTACTGTCTTTAATGGTGGCTGTATCTTTAAACAAACCCTGGCTTCTATTTTTTTTTTTTCTGAATTTATTAAATAAAGCTCTCCAGAGCACTGACATACTTAGTGTCACATTACATGTGATGCCGCATGCTAGGCCTATCTGTTAGCAGTTGTAAGCCATAGCATTTATATTCCCTACTGATGGGATCCCAGTTTACATGTAGACAGGCAGTCTATTTAAAATTTGTCAATAAAGCCTTTTCTAAAATGATCAATTTGCTTCTGTTTAACTTGTCTAAACTGGGAAATAAGTGGTAATAGTACCAATCTAGAATCTTGTTACATTCAATGGATCTTTAATATCAGTACTTGGCACTATGGGGGAATTAAACATTGGAGGGGTTTTGTGCCTCTTGATCACACCAAAGATTTTAATGTCAATGGAGGCTCTACTTTTTTAATCTGTGTTCTAAATGGCTAAAGTAATATTATACAGAGTATTATTTGGGTTAAAATGCTTTTACTCCCTCCAAACTACATGATATGATCGGGACCATATGTAATCTGATAATGCAAAATATTCTGTAATAAATACTTTATAAGTTTTATTTTGTCACACCTCTCCCTGATATATGCAAAAAAATACACAGGATTTAGAACTTTGCTGCGAATTAATGGCTTTCTCCAGCAAGATCCATAATGATGTATTAAAGCTAAATACATTTTAGACTTTTTTTTTTTTTTTTTGTTCTGATAATTTCAGGTCCTGTATAGCTAGGAGGGTGTGCATTTATGGTTGCCCAGTGAGCATAAGAAATCCATAACTCTGGGTATAGTACAGAACACAATGGGCCTATATTTATTTTTTATTTTTCTTCTCTACAAAAGTTCACCAGAGTTCTTCAGGGTATGGTCTTGTCCTGCCACCCACTGGACAGGCAGGTAACAACTTCCCAGAGCTCTGACAACCCCTGGTGCTTCCTGAAACACAAGGACCGGTCTCCAACACTCAACTTGGTGATAAAATATAGCAGTGTAGGGTTAATGGTATGAAATCTCACCCCAATAATAAAGCACATAATGGATAAACCATAAAATTTGACTTGTAATTTGCTTCACTTTCTCCATCACAATAGCAGTTGTTGGCACTTTAAACATAAGATCACTGCATCATTAATGGCCTTTATAAAGCGCCAACCTATACTGCAGTGCTGTACAATCAGAGAAATCCGTAAAGTATAGACCTACCAATACAAAAGGAGTAAGGGATGTTGAGATCTAGCACTTACAGCCTTTTTATACAAAGTACTGAACGAATTGTCTTATGAGCTTACAATCTTAAAGTTAAGGGAACTTGAGACAATAGGGGGTAGAGATTGTGATCAAGGATATCTCAGCATATATGTATATAATCAAGTTTGGAAAACCCAGTGGTCGCCACGATTATTGCTCCACTGTTACAACTTTGCCCCAGTTTTTTTTGTTTTTTTTAAACAATCCTTTCAGTCATCTGAGTTACTATGGGTGGGTTTACCTTGTCTAACCTTTTGGGGTGGAGTCCATTGGCCCATAGTGCCATTGCAGTAGGAGTCTCTCGTTACACGTCCAGCTGGCACCAGTGACCTGACCCTAGAGGAGTTTAGTTGAATAAAAAACTTCTATGAGCAGAGATTCAGCTGCTGCTGTCCTGGGAGGAATTTCTGGACAAGCTCCAGTCTTCTAGGCATAGCCTTGAATTCCATCTTCAATATGTGTAATCCGTCTGAAAGTTTGGAATCACCCCTAATACCCGCTGCAGAATGTTTGTCTAATCATACACTGAAAGGACCATGCATTATTTATGTCATGGTACAGACAACTCTAATTTAAATTGAACGGTTACTCCAACCCTTTTGACTCCTGAGGTTTTTATTTTACCTCATAATTCCCAAAGTTAAGAGACTTTTAAAAACTTACCACAAATTCAGCTCCCATCATTGATGATCTGACTATCCAACGTTACGGCAGCCCTTGTGCGATCCAATCACGGGCTTGTGCGAACTCTGAGCCAGCAAGGGATGGTGGGACTTCTACTTAGAAAGCAAACTATTTGTTTACATCTGTTCCAGTGTGTAAGGACAACAGATGTTAATTTTGCACAAAACTCCCATTTGACAGTGTGCCAGGGGGTGTTAAATAGCTTCTGGCACGAAAGGTAACATCTTTGGATGTGCAGCATTTCAACGCGAAACGCTGAACAATTGGACATCTACCACCATGACCACTTCAAATCACTGAAGTGATCATAGTGTTTGGATTAACTCTTTAAAAAATTTGAATTCATCTCAATGAAGTCATTATGGTGTCTGGAGGTCTTGGGTGCCATATTAACTTATAGGGTTCAATCGTTTATGAACAGTTTAACCCCAAAATCCTCATGACGTTGCTCGTCCCCTCTTCCTCGTCTTCTGGGCTTACGTCTAATGCAGAAGCCTTTCATGTGTGCTGATTATTGGGTGAGCGCTTTATCTTATGTTTTCATCCTATCACTGGTGGCAATTTAAAAGATATATATGTTAAAAAGCTATGCACAGCCCAAATCCTAAATCTTACGCTTACCCATCTTTGTGTTTATTAATTCTTATCTTTATACTTTAGGCCCTCATTCTTAAAACTAAGCTCCAATTTACCTAAATCCAGCGCTGGGCGAAGCTCAGGAGTGATAGGAGGCAGGGAAATTAAAACCAAAATTAACAGAAGGTATAGAGAGGCAGGGAGGGCTTCAGTGATGGATGGAGAGCAGAGAAATGCTTCCCGCTGCAGGAGAGGAGCTAATTGCTTCCGTTGCCTGCGTGCAGTGCGCACTGACGAGAGACAAGATTTTTGCACAAAATTAACATTTGGCAATCTGGAACAAAGTTCTGGCTGCCAAAGTCACATGTGCCAGTGGTGTGACTAGCCCAGAGCATACAAGTTCAGATATCACTTTAAAACAGAAACGCGGCACGCACAGACTCCTATCACCATAACCACAAAACAGACGTGGTCATGGTGGTTGGAATAACTATTTAAATATGATATGGCTATTAAATTAATCTAATTGTGTGTCTGCAAAGCACCTTTTACTTAACTCAGTGTAAAGAGGTCTGTCTCTTAATGCACTAATCACTGACAGTAATTACACTAATATGGTTCTCAACGTGTAGGTGATATTTTATTCTCTCTGACATTGGACTGTTATTTTTGCATGATAGGAGCACTCTTTAAGCAGATAAGGTCAAATATGTTTTAGGGGAATTGGGGTGTTGCCAGCTGAACCTCATCCACTCGGCACGTTGTCGATCTGACCTGCCCTGACATCACATACCAGGAAAAAGCCCTCATATGACTTTGCAAATATTACAACACTTATAAATATCTATTCGACCCATCTTAAGAATCTGGCGAGAGGTTGTAATGTCTGGGAATAAAAAAATAAATAGAAAAACCCCTAAAAACAAGTCTCAACGGGGGGATTCCAGCTGTCTGAGGCTTTCTCAGAAGAGACATTGTGCAATTCACCTCCTACATCAACAACAAAACATATGTATTGCTATGAATCAGGAGCTGTTTTTCTGTCATATGTGCCGGCTCGGTAATCAATGATGCTTTTCGATTGCAAGCTCGTGGGCCATTTAACAATTTGTGCAAAAGCTAGATTTTAAGTTCACTTTAGAACCAGCACATTATGTACCAGTATGTCTAATTCTGCATTGTATGGTGTTTAATTCCTACCTTTATTAAAAGGAACACTCCAAGCACCATAACCACTGCAAGCACTGTAAAGGTTGTGGCGCCACCACTTACAAGTAGTGGAACCTTTTTGCAAGGTTTAACTTCTTACCTGGAGTCCGACGCGCAAAGCTTCCCACCTTCTCTCTGCAGCTTAAGACGTCTCCGTTAGCTCGCCCGAGCAAACCCTGCGGTACGGGACTAGCTCATTGGCTGAGAGTGTTGGCTGAGAGTGTTAGCTGATTGCTTTCAGCCAGCTTGGACAGAGAACGTCTGGTTTTCTAAAGGCTATAGTGGAGGCACATGACAGTGCCCATTGAATCCCAGGCAAAAAGTCATTCCATTACCAAATGCTTTGACTAATTACATGGGGGCAGGCCAGGGCATTCCTCGTACATACCAATACAGTGTGCTATTTATTTATTTATTTGCCATGACGGATAATTGATCTGCAGTATAAAGGCTTGTGCAAAAGCCAAATATGTTTCATATAACATTATTTCAGTGATACAGAAAGGAATATGACACGCACGTTATAATACAGTGGTAATTGGCCTGGTCATAATCCGTCATGGTTTAAAAAAAAAAAAAAAAGCAGAGTAACCTTATAAAGTAACATAACATAATAGCATCACCCCAACACTATGACATTGAGTGGTGTGAGTTGGCAACCTTATAATGTTTTGGAGTCACCCCCGCAACAGGCGGCAACGAGCTGCGCCACTCACCATCACTTGCAGTATTGGACCTCTATCAGAGATCTCAAACACATATCCCTGGGATGGGACTAACAGCAACAATCATAGCGGCCAGAAACACCATGAAACAGAGTGGACAGCACTGCCCCTTTCAGCCATTCTCAGTTTCCACCCTTACCCCAGTGTGTTTATTCACCCAGTGTTCTTCAATTTCCCCTAGCCTGTTTCTGGAAGTCTTGGCTTTTCCTGAACCAGATTCAGTCACCCACCTGAGACCCTATTCCAGTATCTCCTCTCCCCATCAGATGCAGTTTGCAATACCTTAGATGTGGCTTTTTACTCCTTACCTACCACATAGCTACCAAGGTCTAGATAGAACTTCTACTCCACCCTTCTCATTCCCCTGTGTCTAGTACGCCATCCCAAATCACATCATGGACCTCAGTCTCTTACCTTCTCCCCCCAATCTAAAACCTACTTTCTCTGTCTCTCGACCTAATTTTGAATCCCTGCTCAGATGCCAAAAACAGACTCTTTACCCCATCCTGCCATTTCCTATAGGCGTAGGGATCCTCACACTATATCAGGGAGTCTTACAGGGTTATTGTCAGAATGGACAAGATCAGGTTAAAATGACCGAATTACGACAGCATTGGAAATGCTCAAATTTAGTAAAGCCAATGAGGTCATGATTCAGTCTGCCTGACCAGTTCTGTAATATTGGTTCGGATGAGCCAATCTACAGTAGCGGAATCGCAGATTTATCAACGACTGCATGGCAGCTGATGATAAACAAATGATCATTCACTTACTTTTGTTCATTTGAACAACCATTTGCCCAAGCTTATTTTTCTGCTGATTTTTACATTTTTGCGATCGGTTCTTTTTTCATTTTAATTCATGGCGTCAGAAATTATGGACTTTTATTTGGTCTTTTTTTGTGGCTGAAAAGAGAAGACTTAGAAGAAGGAAGACTTCTGCTACTAAGTGTAATTTTTCTTATTTAACAGGCTGTAGATTTTTTTGCCCCCCCCCCCCTCATAATTAGGGTAAAGAGGACTAGGTAGGGTCTTTATTTTAGATCTGTGCCCAGATTTATTTAATTTGGCCCATATTTCAGCTGTACCAGGAGTATTTAGTTCAGCTCCGTTCGGGGCCTGATTTACAAAATCCAGACATTGATAAATTCTATCAACACTGTC